AAGAGCAGAGCATAGAGAGGGAGGAAGGAAGGGAGAGAGAAAGAAGGTAGGAAAAGAGGGGAGGGGAAGAGAAGAGGAAGAGAAATAAAGAGAAGAAAAGGAATAAAGATGGAGAAGGTGGAAGTCCAACCTCACACATCCCAACGGAAGGGAGATAGGTCTGTCTTCTGCCTCGGCACCCTAGGCCTCCCCCAGCTCCACCCGTTGAACTTACAGCTTCCTGGATCTCGCATCGGAAGACGTGGATTCTGAAGAGCTCCGAGTTGTAATGGCTTTCCGTGAAAGCGAAGCAGTCGCTTTCCGGAGTCCCATCGTGACCTCGCACGCAGAAAAGGATCTTGTAAATGGGATAGTTGGCGATTTCGGTGTTCGTTGGAGGATCCAGCAACCTGTGGGAGAGAGGCAAACCCACGCAGGGGATAAGAGCAGGGCAAGCAGTGGGCAGCTTTGCAAATTCTTCCAGCTTCCCCAGCACCTCCGGCTTCGTAATTATACTCGTTCATTTCATCCGGACAGAAGTTTTAACATACAGTGAATGAGTCTAGGGCTGGGATCTCCAAACTTGGCAACTTGAAGGCTTGTGGACTCACTGGGGAATTCTGGGAGTTGAAGTCTTAAAGTTGCCAAGCTTGGAGATCCCTGGTCCCAGATATGCATCTGTCCTGGTCACTTTTTACAGAGGCGCAATTGAGAGCGTTTTAACAAACTGCATACCCCCGTTTGGTTTGGTGGCAGCAGCACCTCAGACAGAAAGTCCCTACAGAGAGTGGTGAGGACAATGGAGAAGATTATAGGAAGTTCGTTATTCAGGATGCTGCTTATAAGTGCTACGTACTTAGAGCTGGAAGCATTGTTAGAGACCCCACACACCCATTTCACTGTCTGTTTCTGTAGCTCCCCTCTGGGGGGGGGGGGGGGTTCAAAGTATTTCTAGCAGGACTACCAGATTCTGTGATAGCTTGGTTCCCTAGGTCATCCGTCTGATAAATTTGCAAGATTTGTTTCTCTTGCCGCGTATATGTATACATCTGAACTAGACTGTGATGTTTCCATGTGTCATATATGTGGGTATATGCATACTTTTAGTATTTATTTATTTTGTCATGTATTTGAGGGGGTGACTCTTTGAGAGCTGGGACAAGGAATGGGAACTGACTCCATGACGCAGCGCTAGGGATTCGAACCGCTGAACTGCCGACCTTTCGGATTGACAAGCTCAGCATCTTAGCCACCGAGCCACCATGTCGCTATATTCTAAGCCATGCTAAAACAACCAGTTGGCTGTGTGTAGCCCCAAATATTCGGACCTTCCCTAAAATCGTGACATGTAGAGACCCTGCTTAAGAAAATCAGGACTGGCTGCCATCCTGGTCCTTTCTGCCTAAAGAGCAGAGATCTTCAAACTTGACAGCTTTGTGGACTTCCAACTCCCAGAATTCCTCCTCCAGTCATTTTTAAGTCAGGAATTCTGGGAGTTGAAGTCCACAAGTCTTAAACTTGCCAAGTTTGAAGAGCCTTGCGCTAGAGTCTCAAGTGTTTCTCCACCTTGCCAAGTTTAAGATGGACCTCGACTCCCAGAATTCCCCTGAGATACTTCTTGAGAAGGTTTGAGGTGGAGAAAGACTGCCGTAAGACCTTAAAGCAAGGGTCTTCAAACTTGATAGCTTTATGACTTGTGGGCTTCAACTGCCAGAATTCCTACTCCAGTCATGTTAGCTGAGGAATTCTGGGAGTCGAAGTCCACAAGCCTTAAACTTGCCAAGTCTGAAGAGCCTTCGAAAAGAGAGAGCAACCTTAAAGGTACCATTCCAGAGGGACAAAGCGCTGGCATAAAGGCAGCAAAGCAGAAGGGATCGACGTGAGGCGCATGAGGCACCTCCGCTGGAAAAGCCAAGTCTTGGAGAAGGTCTAACCTCACGGTGCCCTCGGACACGTTTGGCACAGAGAGCGTCACGTCCACGGAGGTCTGGCCTTGGCTGCGCAGGATGGCCATCATCCGCAGGGCCTCCACCTCGCTCCGTGGGGCATTGACAGAGGCGCAGCCCAAGTAGGTGAGTTTGCTGAAGACCACGCTGTCCTCGTCAGCCACTGGGGTGAAGGGACTGGAATCCTCCGAATCTGCCAGAAAGGAAGGAAGGAGTCAGCAAAGAAAGGGAAGGAAAGAAACGTATTTTATCATCTTCACCTTTGGATGACCCCATAATCCCTTGCGGGATGGAGTCTGGGCAACTGAGTGGAACTAGCGGAGTATTTAATGGCCGGATGTCCTTCCCTGTCGCCAATGCGGAGTTTTTTTCAGCAGATATACATTCTCACGGTGCCCAGAGAGGGAAATATCTGCCTCTACCTAGGATCGAACTCACAGCCTCCTGATTGTGAGGCGAGAGCTGCACCTCTAGGCCACCGCACCACTCATCAATTCTAGACTGTGAAGAAAGCCCGGGACGTCATCTCTCCATCCATGGGGCCTCTTCCTCCTCCCGCCTTCCTTAGCCTTGGTGGGAGCTCACCTCCCTGGGATGGCTTCACCGGGAGCCTCATTTCTGGCTTGGAGGGTCCCGTCATGGACACGGGGTTGATGGTGGAGGAGGCGGAGGCCTCGAGGAGAACTGGCTCGTCCACCTCTCCGTCCTGGGAGGGGCTCTCTTCCTCCCCCTCCCGGTCATTGGAGGGGTCCTCCATAAGGGGATCCATTAGGACGTCTTCCAGTTCCTTCTGCAGCTGCTGCTCACTCCCATTTCCTACAATCTGGGGGAAGAGAAAGAATTGGCGGGTCTCAGACAGGAAGCAGAGGCGGGTCTTCAGCAGGTTCTGACCAGTTCTGGAGAACCGGTAGCGGAAATTGTGAGTAGTTTGCAGAACTGGCCAATCCTGCCTCTGACTGGCCCCACGTCCATCTCTTCTCCGCCTCCCATTGAGTCCCAACTGGGTTGCCCTGCACAGGAGAACGGAGCTGGAAAGCAGGTTAGTGGGGTGGGGAGGGAAGGGGGATGTTGTAGTAATCTTTCCCCTGCCACGCCCACCAAGCCACGCCCATAGAACCGGTAGTAAACCATTTTGAGTCCCACCGTTGGACAGGAGGATCTCAGCCAGGCGCCCCGAGAAAAGCGGGGTGCCCATGAGGCAAGCGAGAAAACTCACTTTTGCAGCCATAAAAAAAGAATGCAGCTAGTCCTTAACTGACCATAGTTCATTTAGTGACCGTTCAAAGTTACAATGGTGCTGAAGAAAAGGGACTCACGACCATTTCTCACACTTATGATGGTGGCCTGCATCCCTGTGGTCACGTGATTTACATTTGGATGCTTGGCAACGGGCTCGTATTTATGACGGCCGCAGGGTCCCGAGATCCTGTGATTACCTTTTGCAGCCTCCAGAAATTGTGGGTGCCTCCATCCCGGGATGCTTTTTTAAGAAGAGTCTAGACCAGTGGTGGCTAACCTTTTGGGGCTCCTGGGCCACAAATCGCATGCCAGCACCCAGAAGGCAATGCTTGCATCCTTCCCACCCTCTGCGCATGTGCGCGCAATCCTCCCCATCCCCTTATCTGCACTGCACCTCACAGCTGTTTTTCAGCTGGTTTGAGGCCTTTTTGGGCCTCCCAGAGGCTTGAAAAATGCAGGACGAATAATAGGCCCGTTTCATCACTTACAGGAAGTGATGAAATGGGCCTATTATTCGGCCTGCAAAGGCTTTTTTCAAGCCTCCGGGAGGCCAAAAAAGGCCTCAAACCAGCTGAAAAACAGCTGTGAGGCGCGCACATGCGCAGTGAGGTAAATTTGCCTATGGCTCACGTGCCGGCACAAATGGCTCTGCGTGCCCCCTGTGCTACGCGTGCCATCACGGGTCTAGATAGTCCACTTACCTAAATTGGCATAGGTTGTCCTGCTTTAGTGGGGGTGGGGGGGTGGACTAGAAGACCTCCAAGGTCCCTTCCAGCTCTATTCTCAACTCTAACATTCTGACCTTCTGACAAGCCAGTGGGAAAAGCTGGATTCATTTCACAACCGTGTTACTAATCAAACCACCACCGCGATTCCCTTAATAGGTGCGGCAAGGATGGTCGTAAAATGGGCCCAAAACCTCACTGGACAAATGTCTCACTTAGCAACATAAATTCTGGTCTGAACTGTGGTCATTTAAGCCGAGGACCGGCTGTCTCTCTCTCTGCACGCCGCAGAGGCCATGATTCGCCATGCTGATGTTAACACAAAGGCAGGAAATATTTGTGTGTCTGCCTCCTGGAAGACACGACAGGTGGGGACAAGAGCAGCTGGTGCTCAGAAGCGGAGCATGGGGGCAGAGCAGCCAGAAATTGGGCGTAGTCGAGGCGGCCTGGGGCAAAGCCACCTCAGACATCTCCGTGGCCTCACCCCTTACTCTGCTTCCTGCCACAACCTTCTAGTCTAGTCCCTCCTCACACATTACATCCACTGAGGAGTTCCAGACGGTGTAGGTTTATTATTCTATTTATAAAAATAAACTGTATTGCCTCCTCCATCTTACCATTGGGTAACTAATTAGAGTTATAGATCCGCTAAAATGTCCCAAATATGCTTTTTTCCAAGAGGCAACTGGACTTTCTTGTTTTTTCTTTGGAAGATGTTTCGCTTCTCATCCAAGAAGCTTCTTCAGCTCTGACTGGATGGTGGGGAATGGAAGGATTTACGCTCCTTGCAGACAGCCGGTCATTTGCATCCTTTTAGAGTCATTGAGGATCACTTGGGAGGTTTATCTGTGTCCTCGGGGCCACCTGAGTGATGCAAATGGTTCCTGTATTCTGCAATTTCTCTGGAAATCCGTTTATACGCCCACACCATTTGAAGGGCGTTCATCGCAAAGTGCATAGCCAAAAGTCTGTAGAGATTCTCAAGCAACTTTGGAACAGCCGTGACCTGGATGACTGAGAATCTCTACAGAATTTCCACAGAATTCAGAATACAGAACAGTGCAGGGGGAAAAAAATGACTTGTGATTGTGAGCCTCGCAACATTGCACAACTGACTGCAAAGGAAGCAATCTCAACTGTCCTTCCATCTCCCGCAGCATCCAGTACAACTGAACCGAGGAAGCTTGCAGGATAGGAAGCGAAACTTTTTGGTATTTTCCTTCCCCCCCCTTCCCCCCCCCCAAATAGCCCAGTTGCCTTTTTCAAAATAAAAAACCCACTTTTGATACAGAGAGAGAGAGGGAGGGAGGGGGAGAGGGAGAGATTTCAAGGGTTGCCTACTGTCTCAACCCAGAGAGGGGTCTGCAAAGGCCTCTCCCAGTTGGGTCTGGGGGTCAAATTCCTCCCTGCCAGACTAGCCTTAGCGGCACAAATGCCTTGAGGACAGAGAGGAGGGGGGAGGGCTTTTAATGAAAAGCAGGTGGCTTGGCCTCTGGGGCTGGGCTGAGCAGAGCAAGGGCTGGGCGTCCTTCCATAGAAGTGTGCGGCCCTCCTTGTGGTTTGGTTCTGGGGGGGGGGGGGGGGGGGGGGGGGCGGAGGAGGAAGCCACGGTAAGAATTGGCAGCTGGCAGCCTTCCAGTTTACATGGGGGTCAAGGAAGGAGTGAGGAGGCTGGGAGGGGAGGCTCACTGGAGAGGCTGGGCGTGATTGCCGGCATGCTGCCAAGAGAAGCCCCACCCAGCTGCCTCATAGCAGGCAGCTGCCATTAAGCTGGTCTTTCCCTCCTTAGGCTGGCAGAGATGGGGAGGGCCTTGGCCTAGATCTGTCTACCTACCTACCTACCTATCATCTATTATCTATCATCTGACTATCATCTATTATCTATCTGTCTAATCTACCATCTATTATCCATCAATTATCTCTATCTATCTATCTATCTATCTTACTATCTATCTATCATACTATCTACCTTACTATCATCTATTATCTATCAATCATCTATCATCTATCTATCTATCTATCATCTGTCTATCTATCTATCTATCTATCTATCTATCTATCTATCTATCTATCTATCATCTATCTATCAACTATGTGACTATCCATCCATCCATCCATCCACCCATCCATCAAATCTATCTACCTCTTTATCTCTTTGTATCTGTCTGCCTGCCTACCTGCCTATCTCTTTTATCTACTACCTACCTATCTCTACCTACTCTTTATCAACCTACCTAGTTACCTATCTCTCTACCTCTCTATCCATCTATTACCTATTTTTTCTCTACCCACCTACCTACCTATCTACCTCTCCGCCTCTCTACTACCTCTGTCTCTCTCTCCCTACCTACCTGTCTCTCTTGTTCTCTCAATGGAGACAACTGTGACTTAACTTCCAGTCCTCCCTTAAGTGAACCAGGCAGCAAATTCCAGCAGCTTCTCTTCCACTGCGCCTGGCCCAGATCAGCAGCAAAAACAACTGCGTGTGTTTGTGTGTGTGTGTGTGTGTGTGAGAGAGAGAGAGAGAGACAGAGAGAGAGAGAGAGAGAGATATGCTTTCCAAAGATTGTGTTCAGCCCCGACTCTTCCTCCCCGCCGCCTGGCTGAGGCCTCCTACGGCAAGCAGAGCAGAAACACAACCCTCTTTTTGGGGGGGTGTAGCCAGAAGAGAAGTAGAGAGCTGGACTGGGCAGCCGCCTCTTCCCTCCGCTGCTTCTCAGAGGGGGCCACCAGGCCAAGCCCTTCGTCCTTCGGCAGCAAACACAATTCCTTTTTAAAAAGGACGCTGGCTTGGAGACGGGGAGGAAGCTGGGAAACAGGAAACATCTGGCCGACGGGCAGAAGGGGGCTCACCAACACAGCCACGATTCCTCCAAGGTCAGAGGCAGGAGAGAAGCCAAAAAACGGTGGCTGCAGAACTCGAGGGTAGGGTTGCAAAGCGTGTCTTGACCAAGCCAACCAACGAAATATTTATTTGCGGTTCTAAAACTGGTCTGACGGCAAACAAAAAAGGGTGGGGTTGTTTCTTTTTTTGACAGCTCTGCCGTTGCAATAACGCACCCCAGCCCATATCCAGCCCCTGGTATTGTTTGGCGGTGTCTGGAGCTGAGCATGGAGGGGGTGAAGTGACTTAAGGGGCTGGAGTGGCCGAGGTGACTTCAATGGAGATGGACAGCGGACGTTTTGGAGAGAACGGCAGGCGGTGGAAATGGCCAAGTCAATCACTGGAGCTGTTCAGTCAGCAACATGGCTGCTCGGTGAATTGGGCTTCCCACTGGACTTTGCTTGTTAGGTGGTCACAGAAGGGATCAACATGACCCCGGGACCCCGTCATAAATAGGAACCAGTTGCCAAACATCTGGATTTTGATCACGTGATTAAGGGCAGGGGTGGTCAAACTCAAGGCCCGTGAGCTGGAGCTGGCCCACCGGGTGGTTAAATCCGGGGCTGGCCTGCAAATATCAAAGGACTGGCCTGTGGTGCCTCGGCCGGCCGGCCAAAACAAACCATGGAAGAGGCATGTTTTTGGCCAACATGGCCACCTGCAGCACACTGCCAGCCGAAAACAGGCCATGTGGAGGCCCCGCAAGGCCTGTTTATCACCTCCCCGGTGTCCAGCAGCATTCTGCCGGCTGAAAATGCAGCCTGTTTTCGACTGGCAGAGTGCTGCATGAGGACTGGCTTGGACTGGGTTACAATTACAAGAGCCTCGGTGGCGCAGTGGTGAGAGTGCAGTACTGCAGGCTACTTCTGCTGACTGCCGGCTACCTGCAATTTGGCAGATTGAATCCCACCAGGCTCAAGGTCGACTCAGCGTCCCGTCCTTCAGATGTGGGTAAAATGAGGACCCAGATTGTTGGGGGCAAGAGGCTGATTCTTTAAAATCACTTAGAGGGCTGGGAAGCACTAAAAAGCGGTATATAAGTCTAAGGGCTATTGCTATCTATATCTACATCCATCCATCCATCCATCCATCCATCCATCCATCTACTTACTTGCCTGCCTGCCTATCAGCCGTTGTGCCTCAGTGGTCAGAATGCAGTATTGCAGGCTAATTCTGCCCACTGGCAGCAGTTCGAATCTCACCAGGCTCAAGACTGACTCAGCCTTCCGTCCTTCCGAGGTGGGTAAAATGAGGACCCAGATTGTTGGGGGCAAGAGGCTGACTCTGTAAACCATTTAGAGGGCTATCTCTATCTATCTATCTATCTATCTATCTATCTATCTATCTATCTATCT